ACTGATGATATATGACAGAAGATCCTGATAACATCTGACTGCAGACCTTTGTGACCTTCGAAGAATGGCGTTGATTCCGTGTGACTAAAAACCATGATGACATATGCCAGAGGACTTTTGTGGTTTATAGAGGAAGACCCTGGTGACATAAGAATAGACCCTGTTGACAAGTGACAACAGACCATGATGACATTTGACAGATGATCTCCATGGCCTACGAACAAAGACATTAGCGCTATGTGACAAAAGACCCCGTTGCCATATGTGCCAAGACTTTGATTGTTTAAGACAAAAGCCCTTGATGACAAATGACAACAGACCCTGTTGACACTTGACAGAAGACACTGCAATACCTGTACGAGACCAAGAATAGTGATCTTGGCGTTGAGGTTCAGCTTGGCCTGAAGCGTGTCCCGAATCTCCTCGGCCGTGATGGGTCTCCCGTCTCGGTCTATGGCTCCATCACATGTAATGCACAGGATCCCCTCCGTGCCCATATAGAGGTCATCCTTGACCTGAAAGCAGCAAGCAATGTCTCTTACTGACGTCTGGGGACTTAATGAAGTGAGTGTCAGAGGAGTAAGAGTGTTAGTTAATCGTCTTCTTCTTCTTCATCTTTTTTGTCGTCTTCTTCTTCTTCTTCTTCTTCTTCTTCTTCTTCTTCTTCTTCTTCTTCTTCTTCTCTTCTTCTTCTTCTTCTTCTTCTTCTTCTTCTTCTTCTTCTTCTTCTTCTTCTTCTTCTTCTTCTTCTTCTTCTTCTTCTTCTTCTTCTTCTTCTTCTTCTTCTCTTCTTCTTCTTCTTCTTCTTCTTCTTTCTTCTTCTTCTTCTTCTTCTTCTTCTTCTTCTTCTTCTTCTTCTTCTTCTTCTTCTTCTTTTTCTTCTTTTTCTTCTTCTTCTTCTTTTTCATCTTCTTCTTTTCATCTTTTCTTTTCTTCTTCTTCTTCTTCTTCTTCTTCTTCTTCTTCTTCTTCTTCTTCTTCTTCTTCTTCTTCTTCTTCTTCTTCTTCTTCTTCTTCTTCTTCTTCTTCTTCTTCTTCTTCTTTTTTCTTCTTCCTCCTCTCTTTCTTCTTATTCTTTTTCTTTTTCTTCTTCTCTTCTTCTTCTTCTTCTTCTTCTTCTTCTTCTTCTTCTTCTTCTTCTTCTTCTTCTTCCTCCGCTTCTTCTTCTTCTTCTTCTTCTTCTTCTTCTTCTTTTTTTTGGTTTGCTCGAAATCGATTATATTTATCGACAGTGTTGTCTCTAGTATGAACTTCAATGTCTGTTGTAATTTACTAAACGACTGTAAAGTTTGCCTTCCATCGGTGCGACTCTTAGCCAAATGTTTTGCCTTCATAGTCTGAGATAGACTAGGTAACGGAACATCCATAACTATCTGAATACCGCTGTGTTACAGTTCCCAATAACTGTTTGAGACAAACTTTGTTACATTGATGCAACAACTGTGTGAGATAGACGGTGTTTGTTTTTTAGATATATTAAGCGAACATATTAGCTGGGTTATTGACAGCTCAGTTTAATATTGGCGGGGGCATACTGAGAGATTTAGGCACTCCTTAGCATTTTTAAAGGAGGCCCTAATGGGCCTAAGCCATGTGTATTATTAATGGTTAATATTAAAAGAATAGGCAATCTTCAGTCCCTTGGGCCCATTGAGTTGTGCCCCTGGTTTTAGGAACATCGTCTGCTATGACTGTAAAGTCCAATGCGGGAATGGAAAGTCTCCTCAACATAGCCAACATAAAAATATTGATACTCTGCTGCCTCCAAAGGAGTCGATTTGCAGCTGATTCCTCCAAAGCAAAGTCTACTTCAATGTTGTTATCTGTTAGGTCGTATCAGCATGCGTCCTTATAGCGAAGCTTTGGCTTTTCAGCAGGTCTTATCCCTGTTACCAGTTCACCATGCAGGAGATCCTTTGGAATACGACCGACCTCCATGTGCGAGACATGTGGCAAATTCAGTCTTTTTCTTGAGTCCAGGGTTCACTACTGTAAAGGCTCGTGCTCAGGACGCAAACTTCATGAACTTTCATTTGGCCGTATCCGTAAGCTTTTTGTTTGACCACTCTCTTGTGAGTTTTGAAAGCACGGCAGAAACGTTTTATATTCGTATGTTTATTTCTGCATTTAGGAAACGATCGTCTGCTATTCGAGAACTTAGGTATTCAAACACGTACAACCAAGAGACAGCTCATGGGGTCGTAAACGCTAACGTTTGGTAGGTTTATCAGATCCATGCCAACCCCTTGCGTTTTATTGAGACTGATAGTGAGTCCAAATTCTTTGCATGCAAATAATAATAATAATAATAATAATAATAATAATAATAATAATAATAATAATAATAATAATAATAATAATAATAATATACGTATTGGAAAATAAATATAAAATGCTTGAAATAATATTAATGTATCGAAAATACTTTAACCAAACAAAAAGACTACTTCTATGCACTGACGGGGGGTAGGGGGGGGTGGGGGGTGTTTAGCCACTGTGCACAGTTTATCAACAGTTCTTCTCAGGGGGCGAGTGGGAAACGGCTAAACTGCAAATAATACATATGGGAAGAATACTCAACGGATTAACAACATGGAACAAGCGTAGTAAGCCATAAGTGCTTCCTTGTTCTTCTACCTCAAGTCTAAGTGCAAAGAATTTCAGCGCAGTGCACGAACTCCGTAGCATCGGCGAGGAACCTGGAATACCTTGGGTAGATTTTTAACTCAAAATCTTTGCACGGGCAGCGCTGTTAGGCTACTCTTTTCGATTTCCAACGGTCAAGGGATTTTTTTTTTACGTGCACAACAATACACACGGGACTGAACCCGGGACCTCCAGCTCTTAAGGCAGATAATACACAATAAAACCTGTTATTGCAAACCCCTAAATATAACTTTATGTGTTTGAACAATTCCACATAACATCCACAACTCAAATGTGAAAAGGGGGATTTAGGAAGAGAATAAATTCACTGCCTCGCCCCCACCCCTCCCCCTAAAAAAAAGCATGTCGTCCATGGCGGCACATTAGGGTTGTTCACTTTGAAGTTGGAGTGCATCTGCCTGCGAGACGAGGAACCAACAGTCTGCATATAAATAAGTCAGATCTGCAAAAACGAAAGTGCACGCAACACTCAAATTCTAGAAAACCTAAGTCCAGAAGTGGACAAGAGAGGAATAAGGCCATATCAAGTGAGTTGACGCTACACTGCCGGCTGACTCACCTTGTCACACAGTTCGTCCCTCCAGTTGCCCACCGGTGGCCACTCAGGTATGAAGATCATGCTGGCGTCACTGATGAGACCTGAGGCCAACGCCAGGTAGCCGCAGGTCTGTCCCATCACCTGCAGACCAGGTCACCATGAAGATTTAAGGTCACCATGAAGTTATCAGGTCACCATGAAGTTATCAGGTCACCATATAGATATCAAGTCACCATGAGGTTATAAAGTCACCATGAAGTTATCAGGTCACCATGAAGTTATCAGGTCACCATGAAGTTATCAGGTCACGATGAAGCTATCAGGACACCATGAAGTTATCAGGTCACCAGGAAGTTACCAGGTCACCATGAAGTTATCAGGTCACCATGAAGCTATCAGGACACCATGAAGTTATCAGGACACCATGAAGTTATCAGGTCACGATGAAGCTATCAGGACACCATTAGGAAATCAGAATACCATGAAGTTATCAGGTCACCATGAAGTTATCAGGTCACCATGAAGTTATCAGGTCACCATGAAGTTATTAGGTCACCAGGAAGTTACCTTAAGTCACTATGAAGTTATCTCATGAAAGATTAACCTCATCTTGTCAATAATTCTGGAAAGTTTAAGAATGTAGCAACATATAACCTGGAAGCCGCTGTGGTGTAGCGGCCACACTCTAGCCTGCTAATGCGAAGCTCCTAAGTTCAGCTCCCGACAAAGACATAATTGTTTTTAAAACCGCCTCAGACTCCCTCGTCAACCTAATTTTAGACGGGTACAAAATCCAGGAAAGTAAAGACGCCCGGCAGGATACTGGCCACACTACCCATCGTTTGCCAAGTTATCTATGAAATATGGGTTAACCCATGAAAGACCATCTGACCATGCAGGCGATGAAAAAAAAATGTAATAACTTAATGGCCTAACAAGACTAGAGACCTAGAAGAACAGTTATCTATCACTAGCTGCTTGAGTTAAAGTTAGTTGCGTATCCCTTACAGGACGTTGCAGAACCAACCCCAGCATTTTTTGGCTGTTGTGGTTTTTCTAAGCAAATTTACGTCCAGTAGTTTGCCATTGCCTCTGGACGGTCGGCTTTTCGATACCACTTTCGAAACCAACGCAAGGCTGGGATCGAACCCAGAAACCTGGGATTACGAAGCTCGTTCGCAACGCCTGAGCTACAGACGACGACTGCTTGTGTTAGCCTCTGCAAAAACCTGCTTCTCGTGGCTCTACTTCTACGTTCTGGTTGTTCGTCCATTTCTAGACTTTAGTCTTGTTCCACTTTTTGCTTGTACATCAGTTTTACAGATCTGCTTATTTGAATTAGGCTGTTGGTTCCTCGCCTCTCAGACAGACGCACTTCGTTATCCGAGAGCAAAACCCGAATTAGTCGTTTTTACGACATGCCATTCCCTCCCCCCCTCCTTTCTCTTCCTGCTCCATCTCTTGCTCTTTCTAGTCCTCTTTGGCATCAAGGAAAAGGATACAGAGGAGAGGAATTAGAAATAGTGGATGTATCATCATCATCACCAATTATCAAGTCCGTTACAGAGCGTCGCTCTCTTCACGGCACGTCTGAAAGTATCCCTTTCCCTAGCCAGCTCTCCGGCCCCATGTGCTTTCAGTGCCAATGCTTCTTCAATGTCATGTATCCATCTTCCCAGTGGTCGACCCCTGCCTCGCCTTCCCCAAACTGCACCCACCATCACCGTCTTTTCCAAGTCACTATGAAGTGGATGTATACTGTAATCAAAACAACATCGACAACAAGAGAGAAGACCTGGACTACGAAGGCCTGCTGTGAGCTGCTGCATGTCGATGAGATAGCGTCGATGGCTTCGATGATTCTGTGCAGCGCCGAGTTGAACCCGATAGAGATATCTGTGTTTGCAATGTCGTTGGTGATGCTGGCCAAAATGGCAACCATCTTCATGTGGCGACACCTGCCGAGGAAACCCTACAAATGTTACCGGTTTTGTAATTATATTAACACTTTCAGCCTCCTCCCCCCCCCCCCCCCCCCCCCCTACCCAAATAAATAAAAAATAACCGCAGCAAGTATACCAAATGTTAATTATGCGCACTTGTCAACATGTTTTATATATTTGTGCATCAGCTATAAAAAAAATTCCTCGAAGAACAATCGTATTTTGTATCCACTGTCACAGTGCACAGTGTGTGAATTACATTTAACCCCAACAGGGTCGCACAAGCGACAAACACCCAGTGACACAAAGTGCCACCATTCGGGTGATAATCACCGGGGCACAAGTCCCAGAAACCCCGTTCAACCCTTAGGTTATATCAGGGCTCCAGACTACAGCCGGGGTGGGGCTTTAAAGTAACAAAAATGTACTTCCTTTTGGGGACGGATCATTCATAGCACAGTGGTATCTGAACTTAAGAACTTAATTCGTTCCTGTCTGTAGTTTGTGTCTCGAAAAGTTGTTATCTTTTTTAAGTTTTTTTCAGGTAAACTAAATCAGTTCAACAAGTCAAGTCGCCTACAAGATGCTGTGTGTTTGAACCTCGTGGACGCAGTATACCCATGCTTTTGTTATCCTCATTATTACTTCAATCAGGCATCAGCTATGATATTCTTGGACTTTAAAAAATAACTAATCAGATGTTTCCCACGAATACGTTTACTAAACATCGACGTGTGTCACAGTTCAAGAATCGGTTTAAACCGAAAATGTAATTTATACGAGGGTATGCGGGTACAACCTAGCTTTTGATGCTGAAACAGCTGTCGAAACTGGGAACAACAAAGCCCTATTCTATTTAATGAAACAACACTGTGTTCTCACACCTACATCAAATACACCCATTAAAGACAATGCAAACCAATGTTATCAGAAGACCAACAAAAGCAACGATGGGTAGAACATTTCAAATAAATATTAAACAGACCACAGCCTGACAATTGTCCCCAGCCTGGATGAAGAAGTTTCTATACTCCCACTTGATGCCTTCTCTGAGACATTCGCAAAGGAAGAGATAAAATAAGCAGTTACAAAATTGAGAAACAACAAACCTGTTGGTGATGGCGACATCTCAGGAGAAATGCTTAGAGCAGCAGGTGAGAAAACCTTACAGCATTTGCTAGAGCTGATTAACGAAATCTGGCAGAAGGAATCCCCACCATAACAGTGGAAAGATGGTATAATTTCAAACTGCCTAAAAAAGTGATCTGTCTGATTGTACTAACTGGCACGATACCACCCTGCTCTCAGTGCCAAGTAAACTTTTTTGTAGCTCGTTTCTTGAGAGATTGGAAAAGTCTGCAGATGAATGGCTAAAAGAACAACAAGCAGGCTTCATACCAAAACGGTCACACACAGAGCACATCTTCACGCTCAGAGTAATTATTAAAGAATCCGTAGAATTTCAGTCGCAGTTAGTCATCCACTTTGCCGACTTTCAAAAAGCTTTCGACAGTATCCACCGTCCTAAACTTTGGAAGCTAGTGCCTACCAGTGTCATAAAATCTTTCTAGAATGAAATACGCTTCAGTGTATGAACAGAATCCAGCAACTCTGACTAGTTCTCATTGGAAACAGGAGGGGAACAAAGCTGTGTCCTATCACCGACGCTCTTTGGCATAGCAGTCGAATGGGTCATGCGCAAATGCACAAATAACAAAATGTGGGAATCAAATGTGTTGATACAATTCTAGAAGACCTTGGCTTTGCTAACGACATAGTGCTTTTGAGTTCAACGCACCCAGATATCCGGGAGAAAACAAAACATCTCCAAACTGTTTCAGGCAAATCTGACTCCATATTGACATCGCAAAAACAAAAAAACAAAAACCCACAAGATTATTAATCTTAGCAACAATTCAGACGACATCAAACTAAACAATCACATTCTTGAAAAAGTATACCGCTTTACATACCTAGGAAGTAAGATGACATCTATAAGGCAATTAACGCCTGAAATATCATCTAGAATCGCCTTGGCATCTAGAGCCTTTAACAAACTGTCAAACATCTGAAAGCCAAAGGCATTCAGCAACACTTACACAAAATCTTAAGATCTCCAACTCTCGCGTGATTCTAGTGCTAACTTATGGATGCGGGAGTTGGAAAGCAACGGATGGCCAAGATTTAAAAAAAAAGACAGCTTTGAAAAGAGATGTCTCAGAAGAAAACTAAATCTCAACTGGACAGATTGAGGATCCCATCGTAAGAATCTAGACTCTGATGTATTCAGACTCTAATGTATCCCAATTCTAAACTATTCGGACTCTGATGTATCCAGGCTCCGATGTAACTAGACTGTTGAATCCACACTGATGTATCCCGACTCTAATGTATCCAGACTGTGATATATCCAGACTTTGATGTATACAGAGTGATGTATCCGGACTCTAATGTATCCAGACTCTGTTGTATCCAGACTCCGATGTATCTATACGATGATGTTTTCAGACTGATGTATCCGGACTCTAATGTAACCAGACTGTAATGTATCCAGATTAAACTGCCATTTAGCCCTTCTTTGTTAACATTGTGTGTGAATATGTCAGTGTGTATGTGCGTGTGTAAAATTATATGTGTGTGATATTGTACACACAGAAATGTGTGTGGTCGGATACAACAATTTCAACAATCGTATCTGGTAGTACAACTGACGGCTGCAAAATCAATATAATGGTGTTAGTAACAACAACACTGCAAAAAAATAATAATAATGACAACTTGAGGAAGTTGGTCTTCTCCACGAGATTCCTCTCCTCCAGGTCTTCCAGTAAACTTTGCCATTCATTGTAGAGCAAGTTGAGTCCTGCAAGATGATGGAGGTCATTATTGGTGCTGTTGGCAGTAGTAATTGAAGTAGTTGAGGTAGTAATTGTAGTTGGGGTGGTGGTAATAATAGTGGTTGTTGTTGTAGTAATATAGTTATAGTAGTAGTAGTAGCAGCAGCAGCAGTAGTAGTCGTAGTAATAATGGTGGGGTGGTGATGGTGTTGGTCGTAGTAGTAGTAGTAGCAGCAGCAGTAGTAGTGGTGGTGGTGGTAGTAGTAGTAGTATTAGTAGTAGTGAGTTTAGTAGTAGTAGTAGTTGCTGTTGTTATTGTAGTAATTGTAGTAGTTGTAGTGAGTGTAGTAGTAGTGGTGGTAACGTTGGTTGTAGTAGTTGTAGTAGTAGTGTATTAATTGTAGTACTGTTGATGTTGGTAGTTGCTGTAGTAGTAGTGAGTGTAGTAACAAATGTTGTAGCAGTGGTGGTAATTGTATTAGGTGTTGCTGTCGTTCATTCCAAACATCCAACATCATAACACATCTGTCAGTTAAATCTAACAGCATAACATTTCTACCTTATACCAATCATCTCAACACTTCCATCACTTAAACGACGTGGCTCAACAATCCACCACTAACATCAAGTATCTCAACATATCCACCACTTATATCAAGTATCTCAACACATTCACCCCAAATATCAAGTATCTCAACACATCTACAACTTATATCAAGTATCTCAGCACGTCCATCACTTATATCAAGTATTTCAACACATCCACCACTTAAATAAAAAATCTCGACACATTCACCACTTACATCAAGTATCTCAACACGTCCACCACTTATATCAAGTATCTCAGCACGTCCATCACTTATATCAAGTATCTCAACACGTCTACCTAATATATCAAGTATCTCAGCACGTCCACCACTTATATCAAGTATGTCAAGACTTCTACCACTTATATCAAGTGTTTTAACACATCCACCACTTATATTCAACATCAATACGTCTACTTATTATATTAAACATCATCATACATAAATTAATTACATCAACACTCTCCAAAATGCCAACTCTTTTTTCTTGTTGTCGGTGAAAGATTTAATTAAAAAAAGAAAATTCTAAACAATAAATTAAGCGTTTGTATTCTCACTCCAACAACTTGTCAAATAATGATTTACATCAACAGAAGAAGAAATACCTTTCAGTGTGCCGTCACCCCCGATTGCCACGATGGCTTGTATTCCATAATTCACCAGATTTTTGGCCGCTTTCAGGCGCGCAGAGCGTTCCAGAATATCTGGACACTTGTAGCTGGGAACAACACAGAAAGAAGATTCACCGAAACAAGTTGGCATTTGGCACCCATTTTTTTCTAACTATTCCACATTTTAAAAGGTCAAATATTTTTAGAGGTCACACTAGGACAGCTTCCAGAGCAGTGGTTTTCGACCTTTCTGATGCGGGGACCCTTTCATACAGTTCCTCATGTTGTTTCGACCCCCAATCATACAATTATTTTCGTCGCTACCTTTCAAAACTTTCGTGAATTTGTGTTTTCCGATGGTTTTTGGCGACCCTCGTGAAAGGATCGTTTGACACACAGGTTGAGAAACGCTGTTCTAGTGTCCAGACCTGTGGTTTTCAACCTGCAGTGACGTGATCTGATCAGCTAGTGTGGTTAAATTGATGAGATAGATTCAAGATACGATACTGATAACAACTGGTGGGCATCAAGACAATATATGTGATATACAGGATGACATAGACAACATACATTTTAGTTATTATAAAAATTATTTTTTTAATTGTAATAAATATTACTTGAAAAAAAATAAACTGTATGAATGTATGACCCTATGCATTAAGCCTATAACAATAGAAAATATGCTATGGGTTATATATACAGAATTACATGGCAGGATTAGGATTACGCTAGAAATACAGAGGTTGACACATGAGGTGCTAAGTTATCTTTGTACAAAATAAAGGTCTCCGAGATCTCTTAAAATTATCCCAACGATATGTTACAGAACATTATCATTATAATTGCTTGAAACATAAACAGAAAATGTATTAAACTCCATAATCTATGCACATATAAAATGTTACAATTAATACATAATCTATAAATATTCAATAGCCAAAAATAATCAACAACATAAAATATCAATTATTGACATAGAC